GATACTGTACCAGGAAGCCAGGAAGTTCGTTATCGCCATCATCCAGCACATCACGTACAACGAGTTCCTGCCAATTTTATTAGGTAATTTAACTAGTAATTTCACAAACTATATACCAATGTCGCCGTTTGGACGGCGCCTCGTTTACTGCTGCAGTGACAAAACAATATTATCCAAAATTAAATTACAATGTACTATATTATAATAATACGCTTACGTTCAATTGCATTTTTTTCTTAAAATTTGCATAATTTAATTTAAAAATTCAAGTTTAATAGGTAGTAATATAGGTAGTATATAATATAAATACACACTATACAGATAATATACAGTTTCAAATACTGTTTATTATAATTATATGACTAAGATAAATTATACCCCAACGTCTTACCATCTATACCTATAAAGACACTACCTACAAGTGAACATAATGTATAGTTTCAGTTCATTACTCGTTCTTATATACATCTATACAATGTTGTATGCAAGAGCGAAAAATAAAAGAACAACGAGCTATTAACATTATAATAAACACTTAAGATTACATAAATTGTATTGGTTACTATATACGTACGATGTGATAATATGGAAATCGATGACTAATAATAATCATCTTAATAATAGTAATAATAGCAACAATTACCGACGATAATAATAATAATAATAATAATATTGTGTTACTCGTTTATTATAAATAGTACTATGTACAAATTAAACTTTTAATAACTTCCCTACTGGTGACTTTTCATTTTAATATCATACTATTGGTTAGAAACCAATACATAGATAGGTAATGAATAAAATTAAATCGTCTTTGGCATTATTACATAGTAGACAATACATTTGTTCGATGTCAGTATGAATACAATAAACCAATGAGACGTGTTAATAAATATTTTCATTATAACGTATTTAGATTGCATAAATACTGAAAATATATATAACAATAAATTCATAACTAAATTAATTAAATTAAATTCAAGCAGAATTCAAAATTATATATTTATTCAAAACTTTTCTTGTCAAATAGTTCATGCAACAAATACATATTTATCATATTGTATCCCTAAAATACCAAAATGTTAAGATTTAAATCCTTCGACATAAGGCGGAACATATAACTTTTTTGAATAGGTACACGTGTAACTAAATATAATAGTTCAAACCTGATATTAAATATTGATCCTTTCTTTATTACAAGTTTTCACCACACGATATTATGTTTTATATTTAAAAAATATATCATAATACTCTATACCCTATGCATAATATACATAATATATAGTTGTATAACAATTTAAACATTATTCGATAATTATCATAAACGGTATGTATTATAACTTAATATTATGGAAACATAAAAAACAAAAAAAATTATGAAAATATTAATAACTGCATCAAATTAGTCGTTTTTCACCTTGTGGCTAATAATAGTCGTGTTATTTATAGGTGAAAATTATGTTCGTGAAAATGGTATATCCACTCTGAAACAAGGTTATAGTAATTTGTACAATTCAAACATTAATCCGTCCACACTGGCTAGCTTTGCCGGTGGAGCATTTAGATCGTTGCACAGCCTGGTGCCATCAGTTTTTAAGTGAGTGAAATAAATTACTCGAATACAAAAGAGCAGAGTACCTAATTGTTCTTTTTTTCTTTCAATTGTTCAGCTTGGTGAATGAAGACCGCGAAAACGGTGGCGCACCAACACGTTTCAGTGAATGGATGAACAAGCCTGGTATCATACAAAGACCGGGTAACTACGATATGTTCCTGAGAGGTATAGCGACACAACCTCAACAAGCACAAGACATATTTTTCAGTGAAGAAGTGAGTACTTGCCAAAATGGCGTTGTGATTTATTACTTTTTTTCGTCTGGGCTGTTCGTGAAATAAAGGATATAAGTATTCCAACTTGTACCGAAAATACCACACAAAAGTCGACGTTCAGTCGAGTCGGAATCGATTAATAAATTATGTATTTAATTAATAGCTTATCAGCTATCGTGCTCATTACTATATTAAACTATTCCTGTAGAGTGTAGGGTGGTATGCATGATTATATGCGTGTTATAAAAAATCATTACATTTCTTTTGTTAAATTAAAAACGTAGTCGATTAACACGGAGAAAATATTTAATGATATACGGAACACATTTGGGGGGACCGATTTTACCTAACTTATTATTATCGATGAGCCTGGATTCTTAATTCTTTTGTATATTTTCTTCCTTGATATTAATGCAGTATTATGGGAATAAAAATGAAGACGATCATTAAACACAGATTTATATACCAAATTAAGATAATCAACATTGTAATTTTGTTTACGATTTAATTCAATTATTATGAATTATAATATATTTTCGTCGAGAACATTTTATATAATTACGGTTAATAATTTTGTTTACGACAAATTTAAATACTCTCAATAATTGAATAATCTAATCGTCGGTCGAAAATAAATATTTTGATAATATTAAAATAATACTTATTGTTTAACTCAATATTAAAACAACGGCTTTTTTCCTTAGATTACCGATTTGCTGTTCAGAGCTAATGGACCTCTGGGCCAGGATTTGGTGGCGAAAGACATTCAACGCGGTCGGGACATGGGAATACCTTCTTATAATCACTTTAGGACGCTATGCGGATTACCGAAGGCTACGACTTTCGATGATATCAGAGACGTCATGGACGAAGAGGTAATTTTCTCGACGATAATTAATCAAGGACTGTTATGACCGCGGAAACTTGAAATTATTTAATTTTCAGAGAATTGAACGATTAGTTAAAATCTATCCAACAGTCGACGACATCGATTACCTGGTCGGCGGTATGCTCGAAAGAATTATTCCGGGAACGCTAACCACTCCTTCCTTCAGATGCGTCCTCGGGGAAGGATTCTTCCGTTACAAAGCAGGCGATCGATTCTTTTATGAGTACGATATATCGCCCGGAGCATTTTCACCGGGTAAGCATTAAACTTTTTCACCGAGTATTGTTGCAGCTGTCAAGTTATAGTATATTATATACTGCAGGGTCATCACTTAGATTAATTTTTGTCGCTCATTTATATTTTAGTGTACCTACTACTAAATATTATATGTATTAAAATTAAACTTTTTTGAATTTTCAAGACGCACAATCAAAGACCATATTATTAAAATACAAGTAATAACAAGTCCAGAAAAATGTTTAGTAGATTTTAAAATTCTAATAAATAATTATTGATTGCTACAATGATTTTAAAATAACCCCCATAGCCCCAATACATTCTTCTGAACGAATATTATTCAGAGTATTTTAAAATTACCGAGAATATTTTTGAGAAAAATTAAAAATAAATGTATAGTTAAAGGAACATCTTAGGAGTGTAGAATATGGTCAATGTATAGAACCTGATAGCATTTTGTGCATTTAATTATTTACTATCATGCTTGCACGTCCCCCTCCACCGAAACGCGTATCTTTGACGACATAGTTTTAAACGTTATTGTTACGGTTTCAGATCAACTGTCCGTCATCAGGAGGTTCTCGTTGTCCACTCTCATATGTTTGACCGGCGATAACATACAGACGATGCAGAGAAACGCATTCCTGCAAATCAACCCCGGGTAAGTTATTATATTGAAATGATATCTTATACATTTTATTATGCGTAAAAATAAAATATATAATAATATCAGTAATTTGCACCATCGCACAGGCAATCAAACATTTAATTTTCAATATGCGACAAAATAAAAATATGTAACTTGCTCCCACGTGTAAATATGATTTATGAAATTGTAATTTGCGCCAAAATAATTAAAATCAATACATGCACCTATACTTAGTCTGCTGCTAGAAAATCCCATTTGCGACAGAGGCGTAAGTTTGTATAGCAATGCTCATATACCTACAGGCGTCGGTGTGTCTGAAATAATATGTGAAAATAGGCTGAGGACATGTCACGTTCCATATTATTCAACCGTTATTTCTAAACTTCCAGGATACCACGATGGAATGGAATTTAATATCTAAAGTACCACCTATTTACCCGAAAGTGGCAAATTTATTTGACTCTCGACAGTTTCATACGATATTAGTTGTTACTATTGTTACTGTCGGTTCTTGGACAAAAATATTACACACTTGTTGGTACCTAATACCCGGTAGACAGTTGGTTGAACTCTCAGACACCGCGCTTGGCATCGATTTTAATTTTGCTGTGCATATTATTACAATCTCAGATAGATACCTCCCATCTGTGTGTGGTGCAAATTAAAATTAAGTTTAACCAATTTCGGCCAGTCACTTTGGATCAATTTTTGTGCAAATTACACCGCACAACTTTTATAATATCTCATACTGCTATATTATAATACTGATATTATCAGTAATGACGAAATATGTTTTACATTTTTAATCGTTCTTTATACGTTTATTTTCATTCCGTTTTATTTCCGACACAGGAACGCGTTGGTCCCGTGCAGACAGATCTTGACGGAACTTGATTTGGCTCCGTGGAGATTCCAAAGTTAACCTCGTTTAAGCCAGCGTTAACAATCTTGGAGAAAGAGGAGAAAAAATCGACGTTGCGTTTGTGATATATTGTGTGTATAATAGTACCAGAAATTAGTCTTAAGTAATCAATGTTTAAATATTTTTATGTTTAGTCGGATAAGTTTAAATTATTATTATATACATCGTTACCAAGATTTTAAACACAAATCGTCCGAAAGTCAGAAACTGTATAAACGAAAACAGAATTGATTAGTGCCAATGTTTTTTTTTTTTTTATTATTATTTTTATAATGTTAGGCTGTTTTTATTCAGAAACGAGTAAAAATCCATATTACTTATCTCACCATTGATTTACTGATCAATTGATTGTAGTAATGTTATTGTTTTTATCGTATACTCTTTAACTTACCTATTCTTGAATCATTAAAATGTAATGACTCTTGTATACCTTATCCTTTATACAATGAAGTGTGTTGAAAATATTATTATCCAGACTCTTAAACGTGCCATGGCAAAAAATATCGAAAAAAATAATAAATATTTTTAAGCATAATGTAAACATCTACACTTTTTAAAACGGTGAGCTGACATTTTATAATGATTTTTATTCACGGTTTCCTTTACTCCGTTAGTGAAATTATTTTGAATGCTTCTTATGAATATAATAATATGTGTTTATTCCTAAAATATTAGTTTTGTATTTAATTTATTTAGAAAAATGTATATTTACGTCGCATCGTAAGTTGACGTGTCGATATAATTATCTTATATTAATTGTATGTACTTGTATAAAATAATGTATTGACTTTTGTTTGTAATAAAAAGATATATGATATATGATTCTGTATAAATCGTTCGGGTTTTTTTTTCTTTCCTTTCATCACAAAAATCCATCTTTTTCCAACGTCCGTTTGATTTTTGCAACTTTCTCGGCGCTGATCGGCGGTAACGGAGATCGACACAAACCTCCCTTGTAGCCCAACAGTTCCATCGCAGCTTTCAGACCAGCCGGTCCACATTCTTGCATCAGCTGCAAAAAAAACCAGTTAAAAACAAGTATCTCGTCAGTGTAATATGATTATTCCGGTCGATATCAATAAACCTATCGATCGCAATATATCTGAACTGTTTAGTAAATATCTAGCTTATGTAGGTATATTGTACATTATTGTGGTAGTGATATAATATAGTGGTAGAAATGTAAACATTTTATTTTATGTTTAATAATGTCTATCATTGTCACATCATATGTGTACATGTTATTTACGTCCAGTAAACACAATACACATTATATTTACCTAATCTATTTTTAAATTGATATCTTCTGCACGGCTGTTGCTCGACGTAGCAGAATAATATATTTGGTCGGTGTTATACAAAATAATGGATTGGATTTCTATGTTATTACTCATCAAATAATGCATATTATAAAATTAAATAATATTTTCCATTACTGTGCACTCTCTTGAACGAACCGATATGAAGAAAATAGAGGAAATTTGAGACAGAATGCATCTAATAATTGTTATTTAAAAATTTACCTATACGCAGTAACTTCTAAAACGTTATCTGTGCGAATATACGAGAATAATAATATATACGTTTTTGATTGACTTAATAACAAAACACCTCTTATTAATTATTATTATATAGTTGCAAAGACGTGAAATTGTACTATTGCAATATTTGGGTCAACATCGCAGACCGTTGTTTCTCGGCCAAAAAACATTCGAAACGTAAACTGAAAATCGCCAACCAACCGAGCCGCCCACAGATCGTGCACAGACATGTCTTCGATCGAATCATATCATAATAATTAAATCATATTATTAAACGTCATATCCATTGTACGCTCGTTTAATCACTTTATGATATAGTAATATTATTTTGTATTTTAATGAATAGTAATCAGTGTCGAACGACTCACCAACAAATCGATATTTACGAGTTTCCTCTGCAATTCCAAAGCCTCCTGCCACCGACCCTCCACCGCCAGTTGGTGCATCTTGCACAAAGGTTCGCCAAGTACGGCGGCCAGGCCGTTTATTCCGCCCGAGCATCCTTGAAGTAAACAAATTGAAAAAAATCGAAGTTAACGGAGTTAATAGTTCTCAAAACGATTTTTAAATAACAACGTTAGTCGTGTGCGACTTACCAACGAGCATGGCGGCCAGTAAATAACTCGCCGACCCGGCAGCGATTTGGAATCTCTGGTCTCGCGTTTCGTTGACCAGCGCTGCGAGTTTTCCCATCTGCTCGGGAAACAAAAAACAAAAGGTAAAGTCGTTTTAGATTATCATTTCCATTTTTTATTCAAACGCCGAAGGCGGCTTACGTCCTTATCCTTAACGCCGACAATGTTCGGGTGTAAGGACATTTTCTTCAGTATTTCTACACTGAGGTCGATGCCGGTCACGGGCACCATGTTGTACACTATGACCGGCGCTGGACACGAGTCGGCCACCGACACGAAATGCTCGTACAACGAGTCCTCCTGAAAAGTTTTGTATTATAATGATAGATCTCGGTAAAGACACTCAGCAAAAATCGAACATTGTGCATTTTGGTTGCTACAAATACGAGCTGAGAATATTCTATCATGTAAAAAGATAATATTTTTTCCTTCAAAGTTGTCTTTTTTTTTTCAATTAAATCTCAGCAACATAGGCCATTTTGCTGTTATATTTAGTACCTAGGTTTCAACTGTGGCAAGGGTATGGTTGGTTAGAACACTTGTGTGTACCTTTATGTGGTGAGGCTTTGTCACTAGAACGCGGATGGTCACCCATCCGATGCTTCAATCAGAACACGTTTTTATGTGAAAGTGAAAGTCACCAACAATTCACCCAGAAGATAATCTCTTAAAATTGTTTATTATTAATCTTCTATTAATAACCATCGACGGAGGGTAGAAGAGCATTTTTGGTTTGCAGCATCGAACTCGATTTAATCGAAATGGGACATTTTACAGTGGTCGAAAAATCGTGTATAAACTCAAATAACTTTAAATTCAAAATAATAGTAGGTACCTATATGTTATAATTATTGGTATTATTGGATTTTACTTATTTATTTTATCTATATTTTCTAAAATTATGAATTTGACGAAATATACTATGAATGTATTATAATGTTTAACCATTATTATAATTATAATTTTTAAATTATGAATATTTGTCTAAAAAATGTATTGCTATTGTTATATTTTTTAAAAATATGAATATGACTAAAATATTTAATGGTCACAGGGTGAATTCAATGTTATTTGAGCTTATACACAATTTTTCCACCCCGGCGAAATGTCCCTACAGTGAAACGACCACGGCGAATTGTCCTAGATCCCGATATTATGGTGTATCTATGTGTACGCATATAATATACAATTGCTGATTTTAAATTTTAATGTATTATATGACATTTATATTGAAACGTATAAATACTCTTCCGTGACATTTTATGATGTTGTGACGGAAGGATAAAAATGATCACGACTGAGTTGTAATTATCTTATTGTTGATTAATATTCTAAATAATATATTATACTTACTATTATCATTATTATTTATTTTTTTAATAAACACGTAGGTACCTGCTCGCATACAGGATGTTTCGTCGTGTTTGTCCTCGTCCGCCCTCCCACTCACTATCTATTATAATATGCTATGCGCACATGTCTATCCCGCTGCACGTGGATTCTGCCTAAATCCACTGTGCCATACATTATACATGGACAGTGTCCATTGGACACATTATGGAAATTAGGGGTTCTGCGACTTTTAAAATATTTATATTAATCAACTCAACGAAACTGGGGCTCAATCTTTCAAGATTCTCGGTAAGCAAAACTATGAATTTTAATGATCGCAAATCTCTAACGCATGGTGAACACTTCCAAGAATCTGAATATTTAAAAATTTTTAATACAAAAACGTCATGGAAGAAAACAACGACGGCGAAACACCCTGTATACGGGTTCAGTTAAAATTTTTTTCCATTCAACACTGAACCTTTTCAATTGCTGGTCGTTCTGAGCGGTATTTTAATTTAGGGATGTATTTTTTTTTTTTTTAATCATCTCTTTAATCAAATTAAACATATTAGATGATATATATGATACTAAAAATATTACAAAATATTACAAAATGCTAGAAGAAAAAAAAAATTATAATATTGTATTATACATGGGCATTATAATGTTACGTACCGTCATTCTGGTTTTGAAGTAGAAGGGACTCATCACCAAAACGCCGTCTGCTCCAACTTCAGCCGCGGCTTTACTAAGGTCGCACGTCAATTTAGTTGCTATACAAATACAATCAATTAAACTTTTGAAACTTGATGAAAATTTCATATTATTTATGAATTATTCTTGTATTTTGAATCGTACACGTCTATGATTTTTTTTACAATATTCAAGTAGGTATAGGTATAGGTATAGGTATAAGTATAGGTATATTGGTATATTACAGCCTTTTTTTTTCCTTTTCTCTTTTTACCTAAAAATAAAGTACTACATAATATGTTTGGGAAGCTATACTACGTATCCTCGTCGCACATGTGATTTAAACACGATATTTCCTATAATGCTTTGAAATAAATTAGTCGAATAATATAGTTTATTCTTTCTCAAAAGTTTTGGAATTGATTTCGATTGGATATCATTTACATTTAAGGGCTAAAATCATAATCGCCTGAACTGTGGTATTTTTAGGTTCAACGAGAATCACTATAAGATAATATAATACTATTATTATTATACATTTTCATCTTACATTCACAAGTTGTCCCAGCAATCAGTAATTTGTCTTTTCCGATCATGGATCGAATTTTGGACACCATTTCTAATTTTTCTTCGGCTTTTAAATATGGTCCTTCACCGTTGGATCCACCCACACAGTAACCTGAAAATATAACATTATGAGTAATTGGTTTTTACACTATTGAAACTCAATTCAAATGTTCTATAGGTACAATTTTTTTTCACCCAAATACTGCAAAATATACACAATAAACCCGTTGTTGTTATAGAAAAAATTTTCCATTTTCAATTAATTTTTCAGAGGTTAAGTGAATAGAGTGCTTTTAAAATAATTAATAATTACATTTTAAAACCAACCCAATATGATAATGCATATTATGCATTATTTATTTATTATCAAATAAGTTTTGCAATTTGCTATTGTTGTAAACGAAACTTTAATTTAAACTTTTATCTCTCTTATTGATGGCATAGAATCAAGTTGGACGTACAATAGTACGAAAAGAAAATGGTTTCTGTATAATGATGTACAAGAAAGTTGCTGTATAAAACTAAGTGGGGCTAATCATGAACTACAATTATTTTTCATCTGCAATACTACCTATATCGCGATAATGTTTTTTATACAAACCTAATTTTTGAGAAATTAAATAATGTATTAAGTAATATTTTCTATTACATAATATCATTATTTCTTTTAATCCACCATTTTAGAACACATTGTTTTTGGAACTGGTGACAAATCGCAATTGTATCCTTCGAGCTTCGAATGGGCTACTCATTATTAAATCTAAATTTAATGTAATTCTCACAAAAAAATTGAGTTTTTGATAATATACATTTTTATTATGCTTTTATTCAACAAAGTTGACTATAAAATATGAATATTGTCTACACCCATTATATCACTATTACATAACGCGTAGGCATATATTTTATTTTATAATTCTATGGTTTATGTGTTTGTTCAATGTGTTTTGTTCAATATCTATAGTAAACTCAATAATATTTTACTTTGAAGTACGTTGAAGATAACAAATTGAAATCACAAAGAAAACCATAATATAGTGAAACGTTTAACGTAAATAAACTTAAAACAAATGAGCCTACATACGTGACATTATATTATATTTGTGCGCATTAAGTGCACATTTGTTTTATTGTTGAATTTATTTAAATTCAATTACCTACCCATTTTAACCTGCATTTTACGTATCATATTAAATTACATAATACACTTTCAAAATGTATCAAAACGTTTTACATTTACAATATTTTGCTCTTCACGCCGGCGTCGTAATCGTAACGGAACTAAGTTCTTCACACACGGTAAACGTAATAATAATAATAATAATAATATGGTTGTTACTATTTATTAGTCATATTTAATTGTTTTGACTGAAACAATATTACACTCGTCGTCACTCGAGGACGATTATAATACCCAAGTATAAATGGGCCACTCATATTGTCTAGTAAAATATTAAATAGGCAAACATAAATATAGTTAATTATTAACTAAATGTATTGTTGTAGGTACCTCATTATCTTTCGAATGACAAGAAGACGTAAATGCATAATATAGATATTAATATATTTTTCGAGAATTTTGTATTATTATTTAAATTAAGGCACTAACTTTTTATTTCACACATTAGCTTCGTGTTATGAATCAATTTTATATTTTAAGTATTCGATGTGCTGCATTTAAACTATTAAAATCGGCAAAATTATTTAGATAGGTATATGCCAGTCGCCCACGTGACCTTCAAATATACTTTTTATCTAGTACATACTTAACAAAAATAATATATAACAATAATATTCCTTAATTGTTTTATGTATTATGCGTCTTATAAGAATCGTTATAAGCATTACAAATGTGGGCAAGTGGATACCGCACCGCTGTACAGTAAATGGGTGTTGAGTGAGTCACTTTAATGGATGTGTTGAATCTGAATTAATCGATAAAATACATATGTATACAAAACACAATTCTGAGCCGAAGACAGTCTATATTAATAAGAACGTTTTATAAAACCATTGCTCTTAAAAGAATTTTTATAAACAAAAGCTTTTAGATTTCTTACTTACAGTACGGACTGCTCACGAGAAACCTTCTTTCAATCCTTAGCTATTGGCTATAAAAATTAAAAATTAAATATTTTTTTAACTACAAAATAATTGCAATTTTTTGTAATTTTGATAAATTTTGTCAACAATTGAACTTAAAATTCTCATAAAAACGCGTGCATACGTAACTTTAATATTTTCGAATTCCAATTATAAAAACTTATGAATATAAGGAATCTTGTATTAGATTTTCATGTTGTTTGACCGAGCAAAAATAATTTTATCTACGATAACAATAAAAAAAACTAATAAAAGTCAAAAATTTCTAACGGCAATAAATAAGAAAAGAGTCGAAATACTTTCAAAATTTTACGGATCATATAAAATGCTAACTATAAACGCTCGGTGAAAATAATTATGTATCAACGATTATATTATTTTAAGTTACACCGAAAAAAGAAAATCAAATTCGCCAAACCTTTTTTTCCTCGTTTATCTTTAGTTTTTTTTCTCAAAGTTTGTGGAAACTTCTTAAAATTTCAATTTTCGCCCTCCAAACACACCAACTAGATTTATTTTCCCACCAAAGAAGTTACTGAAGTCAAACATGTAAGCATTATTTCGACTACTTATCGCGTACACAAACACGCCATTGTAGCAGATCGATACATTCATCTATCAGCTCAGAATCTATAACTACAGCGAACAGACATACCAAATCTACATGTGAACAATTTCCAAAAAAAAAGACATCGAATTCGATTTTTGACTGTTACAATTGTCCAACCACGTGCATCGCATATTTTTTTGTTTCGTAAAACCTTCAATCATCTGTGACATTCTATCCGTATCATCGAGTGAGGTGAACGTCATAATAATAATAGTATACAAGTATAATTGTCACGGTGACGATAATACACCCGAAAGGCAGAAGAACGGGAATTTTTTTTTATCTCTACTCTCGGTACCGGTTCATCAAAACTATCGCCACTCACAGCTAATCAGCAACAGCTTTACATGAATGTATCGTTGATAGAGACCGCGAATTTCGAATAATTATTTCGCTCAAATGGTTTTAGATAATACTTTGTCGATAAACAATAAAATGATAACAATATATGTTTATGTATAGTCTGTAGGTCACCTCTGAACGGTATTTTTTCCCATCGTTCGAAATTGTAAGCAAGCGCCCCGTAGTCGACGTCTCCGTTTCTCAGGTACGGAGTGGGTATGGGCACGAACACTCCGCCGAGATCGAAATTCGCCGCCGCGGAAGAGCTGCCGCTGTGCCGCCGCAACGCCGCCGCTGGTCTCACAGCGTTGGATAACTGTCGCAGACCACGCATTTCGGTTTTTTAAAAAATCGTTTTTTATCGCCACTCAGACTGAGAACTCTGCAGCGAACTAAGACTAGGCCTCGGTGTTCGGAATCGGACTCGAGGAATGCTGCTCGGACTATGGCACACTCAGCAGCACAGTGTGGGCGCACTATTAGTCTCGATTGGGCGCATATTATTACGGAGTCGCTGCGATCGCCGTGAAGCCCCAAAGGGTTCTTAATAATAATAATACGATATCACCGAGACGTATCGCGTTCGGTGGTCCGAGACATTTGATCCCGTAGTGACGCAATAATCGTTATATTATAATCGTGTGCTGGTACAACAGGGGTTCTCAAATTATTTTTGTTTTTCGTAAGCAGAAATGCGTAGACAGATAAGTCCCGAGCTTTTTGTCAATAATTATCTGCGATGATATTATTTTATAGATAAGACGACCCCCAGCGGACCAGCATAACAGTTGCCTATACAGTTTGATTTGACTCGGTTATAATATTCAAACATCTTTGAGTTAGAATAGTATCTATCGAGTTGTGCTGTACTGCAGTTCTTGACATTTTTTCGTTAGACTGATATTTTTGATAAATTACTAAACTTTAATTGACGTCATAATGTATATATAAAAAAATTCAATTTTTAAAAAAAATGTACACATAGTTAACAAGCACAAAGTCGAGACTCGAATGAATCGATCGAATATTAATATTGCAATAAAGGCACAAAACGTGGTGTTTAATCGAAAATAAGCTGGTTGAAATATGTAGATGACCAAAACAATACGTTTTGTAACAAATCCTTACTATACCTACTTAATTAACTTAACTTTAAAGTTTTTAGCGAGTTATCGTAAAAGCATTAACCTCGTCCCTATGAGTAGACCCACAGTCATTATTTCAGAAAACACTTGGAGTAACACTTGTGTAATGTAATGAACAATAACTGTGAATAACAATTCAGACATTTCAGCTAACGGCCTCAGCTGCAGAGCTGTATTTATGATCAATAATAAAAAAAAACATATATAGTGGAACCTTGATAAGTAGAAAAAAATTCCGTTCCCTTTTGTCAAATATCGGCTCGTCCGTTCCGATAATTAGATAATTGATAATAACTAATCTCAAATTTTAAATCAATGTAAGATAACAAATCATCTGTTATAATTTGTTTCATTATATTTTATTCGGGATATTTTTTTAAAATTTAAATAATCTATATGCTTACATTTTTTTACATTGCATATAATAATTAAAAACTCTAATATCTACATACATTTTAAAAACTTATTTAAGTCAATTTTTTTTCTTCTAAAACCTTAGTAAGTCGAAAAAATTGCATTTCCATTGAATTTCGACTTATCGAGGTTCCACTATATATATAATATTATGTCTTTTTTCAGTGTAGGTATACCAATATTACTTAAGGTAGGTAACTATTTGATGTATGGAAAACGTATAATATCATGTCGTGGTATTGGCTGAAACAATGCAACGAAAAAAGAGAATGGTTTGTCGGTGACGAGAAAATCATTTAAGCATTAAATTATCAAAATCAAATTATTCCGGATGCACTATATTCCATGCACATCCTTGGATGTCGCGACTCACGATTTGGGAACCACTGTGCTCACGCCACAATGGACATATCGTGTACACTGTATCCAATGTTTTAATATACTATATGTATGATAACAAATATAGATGCCTTTCAAAAGCCCGTGACCTTATAAACTTATAAATATTATTATGTAATTGCATGCTGGTCGGACGCACTTCACGACTGTATGAGTCTATAACATATTATATTTAGATAATATTTTTTGACCAGGATTTGTACCGTGTACAATATACATATTATATTACACAATCGTACACTTATTTTGTGATTTAATATATCATAAGACTACAGGAAATTTTTTAATTTTTTTTTTTTAATACACATAATCTGTATACGGTTCGTCCGAAAGTATACTTTACAAGTACCTATTACCTGAGTTGACGGTATAACCGAAGAAGCCACCAATTGGATGTTCCTCAATATCAATTATATATTATTATTATATAAACCACAAAGTAAATTGTAATAGACACCTACTGTTGTAGATGTTGTGGTCATAAATAGCAGTAGAATACATATACATTATACATATATATATATATATACTCAGATTAATTGCGACAGAAGTAGCTGAATAGTACATTAACTGAACAATAAACGTACGTCCTTATAACGATATATACCGAGTATTTATTATGTACAATATCGTTTAATCGTTTAATTTAAATCCTTAACTAATAATTATTAATGGGAGAGGATGTAACAAAAAAAAAAAACAATACTTTTTATTATTTTAACCATGCCAACTGAGTTAAGCAAATCAACTAACTTCGTATGATTATAAATTTATAAGTCTCGCAGACCATATTTAAAGTGTATATGATTCAAATGTGCGAAGGACGATTGTTTGTGTACTATCATGAGTATTCAACGAATCGAATGTTTGTCTCTTGTACAAACTATAATAATAAAATAATATTGAAATTTAGATTTCATGTGCAATAATTTTCTTAAGCAAATTTAAATTCCGTAAAGTAACTCGCATGGCGTACTCTAAGTTAACCTATATAATTGTAGAGACTTAAAATAATTTATTGTTCTCCGAAAATGGTAGGTTAATCGTTATGAATGTTTGAACTGGTGAAATCTCTGCGCTGTTGAGTACCTACGGTATGATTTTTTTTAAATATTATAATATGTGCAAATACAATAACAAGCAAATAACAAACACCAAACTAATGCATAATATTATTATTGTAATGCAATGTCAACACTGAACATCCAACGAGTCGAAGAAAAAATATCGTAATGGTATTCAAACGGTTCTTAAAATAAAATAGATTTATAATGTAATTCAATAGAAAGCGATGCGAAATAATCCGTCTATATAATGTGCATAAAGTTCCTAAATATCTAGTAATTACTGTCTGTAAAATTTATATTCAACAACTTGGAACGATCATACATTTAATATTAACCAGCAATCGTGGTTTTTTATTAGCAGTCATTCGTTACACGTCTCAGTTTCAATGAAAATACTTAATAATAATATACCATTTTTAACTAATTATTAATATTTACGAATATTTTAGCAGATATTAAATTCAATACGTTTAATAACTTTAATAATTTCCTTTTAGTAATCAGAATACAAATTAAAATGTTTAAGAGGTAAGCCCTATCTGTTCTTTTTTTTACTTTTTTATGGTTACTTGTTCAGTTAGTCAAAGTTGCCTTGTTGAAATTAATAATTACGAGCGAAGTAATCGGTTATAGTATTTACAGGTGTAATGAGCAAATAAGCTCAGCTCCCTTCTCCCCCAAATAATTATATCAAATAACCCCTTATGGGAGTCTAGAAAGGACGTTATAATTTTCTGAATTGAAATGAAAATTATAAAAACACAATATCGAATAAACTGAAAAACAAGCAACAACCAAGTCTATGAAATAAAAATACACGAATCAATCACCGGAATGTGATCATCCTCTAAAATGATTTTAATTGGATATTTTCCAAAATGGTTTATGATTACCTACGAATGTGCGATCAAATTATTACCACGAAAATGTCTTTGATCTTGTAAAAAATTAAAATTGATGTATCATAACAAATTCACAGAAAAACTAATTAGTCGATAGTTAAAATTTGACCCTCATGGTAATGGATCGAAATACCATTGGATAAGTGCTCATACGTTTTACTTTAACAGTCATCGAATAATGTAATGAGTTATAGATATCAATAGATCACGGGGAAATTAAAGAGTATCCAACAATAACAGGATTTGGATGAAGTGGAACGAAAATAACATAAGTGTGAAATCGATAACGCACTTAGGTACAGATAAATAATGTTCAGTGGAATCTCGAGAGTCCGTGCGAGGAATTTCGAAAACAATTATCGGTAATTGATTGAATAGGTGTTTAAAACAAAAACGTCATCTACCTTGCACAATGGAAGTATTAGTCACTCTCTATTAGACGTTATCTATTTTTAGTGATAACCTTACGCGGAAGATTCGATTATTTGACTCTTTGTGGATTTTTATCATCAGCAGTGTTACTATTTAAATAGAGAGCTTCGGACCCGAAACGTATTCACTTGCAACTGTCGATCACCGTTGTATCTACGCCGGTATTATTCGTCCGTGTTACTTGAAAGAGTCGAGTGAAATAAAAATATCAAAATGAACTCTTTGGGTTTCATCGCTCTGATCACTTTGTCGGTGGTGCTGTCCACCTCGGCCTACTACTACAGAGTCATTTCACCGATCACTCTGTGCATGAAGAGCGACTACTCGTGGTGCACCAACGTGACTTATCCAAACAGTTGCGTCAACATGGACACGGTGGTCATGAACAGCACTGGCATGACCGACAGCTCCGGACACGACGTCTCCAACGGCACGGTGACCGCTTTCCATACCATCGAGTCGGTGATAGTGACCGACGTTGACAGCACCGAGGAAAAGTGCATCGTGTTCTACGACTCTTACAACTGCCAGGGCGAGAGCCTGGTACTCAACGGCACCAAGCACCCGTCGGCCAACCTCCACGAATACAAGTTCTCCAACAAGGCAGAGTCCTACAGACAGTGCACCGATCGAGTGCTCACCTATCTTCGGGATAATTAGGTCAACACGGTATAACAGCGACGGCGACTCCGGAAAACGCCTTTCCGTGCCTTTTTTTCTTACTCAAGACTAGAGGTACATTATAGGCGCACATTTTTAAGTATCTAACTAAATATCTGTCATCGGCCAATCATCAGATGTATTAAAAACTAATATTATCAGCTATTTCATTTATGTTATAATAAAATAATTTATAAATTATAATTAAGGCTGTTGTTTATTTATTTAATAAAGAGTGTTTATACAAAAATATTCACTTTCATATAATATTATGATGTGTATTTTATTTGAAAATCAATATAATGTTTATGCAAATGTACAATAGAGCGTTAAAGATAACTGCGTAATAAGGTGTATATTAACGTTTGACTCACTGATCAGTATCCCCAAAGACGAGTTTAAGACTACGTAGTCTGCTGAAGATTTGAGAAACTATTTTTTTTTTCTTTTTGGATCTGAAAGGCTCCTATTGTAGTGCACTGTATAAAAAGCTAAGTTGAATAAAAAAAGACCAAATTGAATAGAAATCTAATTTGAATACAAAAAATATAAAATCTAATTTTTTCATTCATATAACATATGTTTTGTTCAACTTGACTTTTTCAGATTTTTTTATATGTCTTTTTTCTAAAATATTATTTGTTTTATTTAAATTAGATTTATTCATCTGAAAATTGAATTGGGATACATTTTCAAAACACTAACATATTTTTTTAATCGATCAGACAGTCAGGGACCTGACAAAAGACTTGTAAAATTTCTCCAAAAACAAAATATTGATTTGCAAAACAATAGCATTGGTCTGAGATAAATCGGATGATGTGGAGTGTACGTGAAATTGCCACCCTCAATTTTTAAATGATTTCCACAGCTAAAGTTGAGATTTGCAAGTTTTGAAAATATATTTGTAAATTATATGCACAGGTTTGAAATTGATCAGACAATGTTGACGGCCAACTTCTCACTGACATCTTTTCTTTAACCATAGCTCCATCAGGTGGTTACCAAGCACGTCATCATTTGAGTTGCTATTACCAAAATTTGATTTTATAAGATGAATAGTATAAAACATAAAAATAAACTTAAATAAGGTATCAAGTACCAACGACAAAAATATTTTTTTGATTACAAAAATTTAAAAATTCTAAGTGTCTGTAAATAGTATTAATTAAATTTAAATATTTTGAAAATTTCATTGATTTTAGAATATGATAACTTAAGTAACAGTAGGATTCTTCATGTTTTTACAAAATTTTGTAATTTTTGAATAAAAATTGAAAAACTTAAATCGTATTACGTATGAATTTAAAAATTCGTCAAGATTTAAACTTTAGAGTCTAAAGTTTCGACGCTCATAAAATATATTACATTTTGTGGGATTACTATCAGATTTTTTTGAATTCCAGTTATAAAAACTTATGGAGAATTTTGAATTAAATTCACTTGGTTTTTGATAAAGGAAAAATGTTTTCATTTACATTTATAGAAAGAAAAAAAACTTAAAATGTCTATCAATAGCTCAATATGACAAAATATTTAGGCGACTCCGTCAGAAATCTGTTGTTTACAAAAATGTCTACCACTATATTATGATTCACACTGCGTGTAATAACTTTATTAAAATAATAACACAGTTTTAACTATTTAATACCCGATATAAGTTATGTTCAAAACTTAAAAAAATTATTTAATTTTAATTTTGATAACTATTTAATTTTTAAAACATTGATCATAAATCATAGCATTTTACATTTACTTGTACTCAGGACTTTACGACTCTGCTGGTAATTAACATTTATCTATTTGCTCAACTTGTTGTTATATTTGGTTTTGACAAATACCAGTATATAGATTAATTTGTACTTCACACCAAAGCTTCTCTGTATAATATGTTTGAAGTCATATTGTTTTCGGGTGGTAAATCGTATTGTTTAACAGAAGAACCCACTCGAGATAACCCAAAATATAAACGCACTGTATAATATAAATTCCTTTATATAGTCAATACCCACCAACGAGAATGTTAGTCCCCGAGACTTATTTATTTATTGTGATGGCAACTGAAACATTCACCGGAAACTGCGAGCATTTTAAATATATAGATAAGTCCGTGGGTATGATTGGAATACTTGGAATGTGTGCCAGTTGTCCGGAACTCCGGCCCAGGGAGAAAAGTCCTCACGATTTAATTATCTCTCAGATCTTTTACTAAAATTGCTCGTACCATTATACATATTACTCTATCTGGAAGACTTAAGTTCCATAATAGTATTATCGGTAAACCGTTATTTAGGGAAAAAATGAACGAATACAAAATACATTGCCATTTAGCCATTTAGGTGATGCTTTGTGAAATAATTTGACAAAGATTCTCAACCACAAGTCGTCGATTGGATTTAGCACATGGTTTATTATTTTACGTGGTTCAAATCACTGATATTTCTAAGAGGAATCTATGAAATTGTCCTTAAAATATATGTTCAGTAGTTTTTAAGTATGTAAGCTACAAATATGCATTTGTTTTTAAAACATAGTTTCTTTAACTACGGCCATGTAAAAGTGACAATTTGATAAATGCATTTACCTCATCTATCAGAGTAACCAATGGCAACCATTTATTTGTGAATAAAACTCTTTTCTACTATCTTTTTACTGGCACTATTATCATCTGTAACCAATATTACAACCGTTTATAAACAATAAACAATTTTTTTTCCACTGTAAATCTCAAAAATCTCCTTGTGTTAACATCTAAATATTATGAATTTAAAAAAATTAAATATAGCCTATAGTAGACATGGATAATGAAACTTACTATTGTTGAAATAGTTTTTAAAATCGGTTGAGCAGTTTCTGAAATTATCCCAACATAAAACTATAAAATTAATTCTCCTAAGAGGACGTCACACCATCATGTGTTGTCTCCGTCTTACACACATAAGATATAACACATTTTCGTTCAATAGTTTCAATAATGTGCTGTTAGTTTTTTTTTTGCAGTATTTAAATTTTTTAGTTGAATTATGAACATTTTAAAATATTAATATTTTCATACTCATTACTCACTTAAAAATAAAATTATCGTAAAAATCTTAAAAGAGAGCACAGAGAATTGTATGATCTAAAAGTTTGATAACAGATGGTTGTGTTGCATTAAAAATAGCTTAGAAAATCGCTCCATCAGTAACTACATCAAATTTATGATTATGCTCGTCTTGAACATGTTATATTATTTAAATTTATTTTCATATTTGAATGAAAAATACAAAAATACAATATCGAATAAACAGAAGAACAATCAACAGTCTACTGTCACTAGTCCATTAAACATTGAAATATACACAGTTAACCATCGAGATGTGGTTGTCTTCAATATTTATTGACATAGTATTACGATTATAATATTACAATGAGAATTTCTTTAATTTTAGAAAAATAAAAATAAAATTCAAGGATCATAAGCCACGGAAAAATTATTGCATCAAGAATTAAAATTTGACCTTCGTAAGAATGTATCGAAATACCTTTTAGTTTAATATGATAAGTATAAATGAGTAGCTACACACTAACTTCGTAGTCATCGATTGGAAAGAGTTAAAGAAATAATTATATCATCGGGAAATTAAAGTGTAACAATCGCGACCATATCGGGATTCGGAAGTGTATCTAATAAAGTGGGATGATAATAATATTTGTATGAAATAAATTAATAACGCATGATTCACAAATAATTATTTAATAGAATCTCAAGTGTCCAGGAGTGCTACAAGGAATTTCGAGAACAACTTTTAGTAATAATTGACACTGAATATTTAAAGCAAAAATGTAGCGTTCTTAAGTTGAAGTGCTTATCACTCTCTATTCGACGTTATCTATTAAATATTAGAGATAACCATACATGGCAGATTCAATTAAGATTATTTTACTCTTCCTTGGTAGCACTTTAAATAAGAGCTGCGAATCGGAAACGTATTCACTTGCAGTCGCTCCTCCGTCTATCGTCGTTGTATCGTAAACGTATCTATACGACTCATATTATTTGTCTGCCTCGATCGAAAGTCTAGACAAATATAAATATACCAAAATGAATTCCTTCGGTTTCATCGCTCTGGTCACTTTGTCGGTGGTGCTGTCCACCTCGGCCTACTACTACAGGACTTCTCCGATTACGCTGTGCATGAAGAGCGACTTCTCGTGGTGCACCAACGTGACTTATCCCACATATTGCATTAACATGGACACCGTGGTCATGAACGGCACCGGAAACAGCAACGGCACCGGAAACAGCAACAGCACCAGAAACTCATCGATTACCGCATTCAAGACCATCGAGTCGGTGATTGTGACCGACGTCGACAGCACGGAGGACAAGTGCATCGTGTTCTACGACACTTACAACTGCCAGGGCCAGAGCCTCGTGATCAACGGTTCCAAGCACCCTTCGGCCAACCTCCACGATTTCAGGTTCTCCAACAAAGCACAGTCCTACAGACAGTGCACCGAACGAGTGCTCTCCTATCTCCGGGACAACAACTCCAACAACTAGGTTTAAGGTATAAAGGCAAATCCAACAACAACGGCTGTCCGAGTAATTTAGTTACGCCAAAGATTAGAGATATAATATTATTAAAGAAACACATTTTATCACCACAAAATGTATGATGGCTAATCGTCAGAATTATTAAACATTAACATGATCTATTTGATTTGTTTAGTTACATAAAATATAAATTATAATAAAAAGTTTTGATCAAAAAATGTCCACTTTATATAGCGATGAGTTTTTTATTTGAAAATCAATATCATGTTTATCGCCTGTACAAATGTACAATGGATCATTCAAGACAACTGTCTAATAACTAATAGTGCGTATTATGACGTACGGTTCGTGAATCAGTCTAAAGATGGCTCACAGAAGTTTTGTGTGACTAATAAATTTCTGTGTGTGTCTTGAATCTTCTAGTGTACTTATCTTCCTAATGTTTAAAATGTTTAACATATACTTCACAGTTCACAACCTGTAGAAGATGCCACGGTTCATGCCTGTGATTTAGTGAATTAAATTTAGAATACAGTCCTTGCCTTTCGTTTATTTAATTACTTGGTAGTTTTTTATTAATTTGTCTATTATAAATTGTTTATCATGTCAGTTCTTTATTTATAACTTTATAAGTCATGAGTCATGACCTATAATTCAATTATAATACAGCTTAATGAGTTTATTGATTATTATTAATTTCCCTGTTGATGTAAATTAACAAGTATCAACTAACTCTTAATACTTTTTTCACCGTATAATGATTATTGAAACTAATTACTAAACCAGTGGTAGGTATACCGGTGTTTCTAAAATATCTATATTTTATACACCGAAAAAAACTCTAACTCTATAGAGCAGGCATTATTGGAAACATATTTTATAAATAATATTTTTACTTCATCTATTATATAGACTCATATGGTTCACATTAAACGAATATACGTCAAATGTCAAAATAGATATTTCAGATCAAAATACATTGTGTATAATTTACATAGGATATTGAGACCAAACTTACTTCCTGCCTTTTATCTCCCCGGGACACAAAATTGTGTATATGAGCATGTAAACATATAAAAAAGTCATGCATTATAGGTAAAATTTTTTAGGTAAGTTTTTTACCAAATCTATGTTTGTTATTAAATTCTATGAAAGTTCTTGAACAATGTTTTTAATGAGCTCCTGTTTTAGGTTTGATATGAGTTCGAGTACTACACATTTAAGCGATGCCAATAATACTTTGGTTTTCTTTCTTTCAGCCATAATTTATAAAAAATTGTATTTAACTTGCTCGTTGAATAAGAAACGGGCCTAGGTTGTAAAGTCGATTTATCTCATCAGCACTAACAATACTGTAACAATATTATGCTTTCGGTCTCCGTAATAATATGTCGACGACGTACTACAGTGTTAAGTTGGTTAATGATAACCGTCCATCGGATACATTTATATAGTAATAATGGCAAGTATACAATATTAATCACAATAATGAAAAAACGTATTTGTCATTATATAACCATAATTTTCCATTACATCATTAACGGTAAAAATTATATACATTACTCACCTTTCGTGCTTTATCTTTAATATTGGAATTAGTCATATATTTTTAATATGTAGCCTGCAGGTATACATAATAGTTAAACGCAAATATTATGTTTACAATTTTTTATAACTAGTTAAATGTTAGATTAATTAGGACTATTCAATTGTGCTGCACTCTAAAACAATTGTATAATACAAATAATGTTATGATTGCTGTGTTGAAATCTTTACTCCTATGACGGTTATATTTTTTGTTTCGCACTTATTAATTGATCAATGTTCAGAGAAAAACTTATTATTTTCTTTGTATAATATGTGTAAAGTTGACACTGAGGTCAGAGCTATTATTGGACTGAACGTTAGTATCTAAATGTCTTACCGTCATGCTTCTTGGGCGTGATGTGAGTTAATTAACGATAGTTTTGAACAAGGGTGGATCAAGGGTTAGGAGGCAAGATTAAAAAACAGCATCGTGAAAACGTTTTTAATTTAAGTTTCTCCTCAGAACTCAGTACAGAGATTCTGGATTCTTTCTTGCGTTTGAATCACTGAACTGAACATAATATGGAAAACATGTCTCACGTTAGTAGGCTGTCAATTTGAGTCTTGTCGTTGAATAAAAAATAAAACTTATCTGCGCAATGCGCATAGACCTTATACTTAGAGAAGGGACATTGTGTATAAACACATCTTCCACGACATGTACCTAGGATCTCACGAAGCACCGTCGAAGCACTACACACATGCGCACTTAAAGCATGAGAGTGTATAGGATATATCATAATATTATTCACGTGATACAATAATATTGTAAATATCGCATCATTGTTATCAGTTATTCCTATCATTTAACCTATCAAGTGATCTTATTAACATTTTTAAGTATTTAACTAAAGTAGGTACCCATTTTAAATAAATGTGAACTGAATACTTCACTGTTCATTAAAATCAAAGAGGTATTGTTATTTTCGAGCTTCAATATCATCGCAAATAATTATTGTGAGGAAATTGAAAAAAAAATAATTTTGTTCAAAACAATGGTCATCACAGCAGCTCTACTTATTTTGACTGCGCCATCCCACTGATAAAGGAACCTATATTTAGGTTCCGTTTAATACAAGTGTAAAGATCTATGGCGTTATGCGAAAATGTTTTTCATCATAAAAAGTGAAGATACCACTCTCGGTTATAAAAAATATTAAGCGTGGATATGCATATCCTGATTTTCGGTGGAATATTGGACTTGAAATTGCGTTCTCTGCAAGTGGAAAACTTTTCGTATTGGACTCTATACACAAAACGCGTTCCGTGTATTCAGTTAGGTGGTTTGAATCGATGGATTATTATTCAGATGACCACATTTTTACTGTTTTGCTCATAAACCTGGTTTGAAGACGTAGACGCATTATTCGAGATACGATTGAAATCGTATTGAGAGTGAGTGGGATGGATGTAGTAGTAGTGGTGGTGGTGGTTTTGGTGTGCAATTTGCATATATATTATATGTGCAATGTATGTAATATATTGTTGTAATATGTAGTATGAACTTCCTTGTTTATATTTCATCATATTATGCGAGTAAAAGTAAATCGCTTGTACTTTGGTATAATAATGGTTCATATCCTTCGTCAGCTCCTTTTAAGTTTCATAAGCGATAACCAAGTTCCGGTATTTTAGGATAATAACGACCCTGGTTTTTTACAATGCGTTCTAGATACTCGATGTTGCTGGTGATATGATTGACGTTCTCGTTGTAGATAATTTTAGTTATAGTCATAGTGTCATACAGTGTATTAATCATGTTTTTATGATTTGTGTCAGTGTTTGGAAAGAACGTCGTTCGTGTCCGCACGTTCACGTTCATATTTAGTGAACGATACGTGAACGTTTTATTACTTTGAACGTGAATCTAAATTTATTTGCCATTTTATAAATACACGTTTAAAATATATTGATTTATTGTATTATATATTACATAATAATATATTCTTATTTGAATTCCTATAATAATAATAATAATTATAATTATAATAAATTCATATATTATATATTATACTAGAGTATAACTGCCCATTGGCGTTAATTGGGTCTAATTCGACGGACTTCACACATCTGATGACCGTTCTTTCGAACGAATCACTTGAACGGGAGCGGTTGTCTGGCAGTGTCATCAGTGGTGGAAGTGACAGCTGCAGCAGTAGCCAGTTCAAGCGGGAGTGGCGGCAATCGGCGTGGACTTGAAAAGATTCCTAAACCAGAGCTGATCGTTTTGTGGAAATCGATAGCGAGGACCGACAGTCACGGATCAACGCCAGTATTTCGCCCCAGACACGAAGGACAGTCAAACAGACAGATCGTGATCCGTTTCAAAATCAAGGTGTATTTGCAAAAAACAAACTCTCGAATCTCAAGTATGACCCAGATTAGCCTAACCTAACCTTTTATATAACACAAATTCCAAAACCCCTCGATTGAAGTTTATGGTACTGTATATTAATCTTTGAAGCATATAAAATGATGAATTTCTTCCACGAGTTCAAGAAATTCGGAAATGAATATGGATAGAACGTCCGGTTTGCCAGATTAAAATTCTGACGAGCTTTGGAGAAATATGCGAGTCATGATCTCAAAAATCGATAAAAGACGATATAAGAATAAATTAAAATTGAATATTAGGTACATATTTATTTTGTAACGCCTTGTGTCCATGATAGTATGCAGCTTTTGGATGTACGGTCATGCGGGTAAAGCTGTATGATTTTCAATAAACATTGTCTTCGACACCACAACATTGTATGTATTAAACTAACGGTAATAAATTAGTTACTACTAAACCACGAGATCTTCGTTAAAGACGTCTTGTAATTAAAATGTTCTGAGCCAACCCAATGTTTGTTAAAACCAAATTTCAAAAATCAAATTATTCAAAACTACCTAAGTTATTACTAAATTTATTATTGTGTTGTGTTATATAATATTAATAAATAGGAACACGGCCGGCTTGGCATAAATATATATCTATAAAAACATTTTTTATGTTTTGTACATTATATTATTTTATAAAATAAAATTATTTATAGTTCTATCTACATTTTTTTTCCTATCAGAGCGCAGGCTTGTAGAGGTTTCGTATGTAACCGTCGCGGTCGTTGCCAGTCTCGGTGTAACATATTTTATTCACATTAAGTTAGTCATAATAATATATCATTATCATTCGTGTAGTCACAAAAAAGTCTATATAGTGTAAACATTGAAAAAATAAATATTTATATTTTATTGTAAATCAGCTTTTGGCTATGCTTAAAGATGGACATTTTTTTTTTAAACAAATCTAAATCCATACCTACAAGTTTAAAGGCCTCAACATACTGCTGCTGTTAAATATTTTGTAATATTCTTGAAATTAATCCTATAAAGTTTGATCTTGAATATAATATTCAAATGTTTAATATTTACATCAATTTATTGATTTAAAACGTTCATTTTTATGCATTTTTTTATAGAAAAATAGAACACTGGAATGTTGATATGTCACATTTACGACAGTGGAATAAAAAAATAAAATTCGTATCAAATTAATATCTATTAATTTAGAGATACCTAAAATAAATATAAACGTATTTTAACCTTATTGAGCAGTATATTCAATTAAAACGCGTTTGTGTAAGCATATAGATCTATAAC